TGTACCATTAGTGTCATAACCAAGAAACCACTGCCAAATCCAATGTAATAAAACTTCTGCCCTATGTTTTCTTTTAACAGTTGCATTGTTTTAGATCTTACAATTAGGTCTCTAATATATTTTTAGTTTATTTTTGCATATCCTATTAGGTAAGGATCCAATTAATTCTTTTGCACATAGCTATCCAGTTTTCCCACTACCATTTGTTAAAAAAAAAACTATCCTTTCTCCACTGAATGGGATTAGTGCCCCTGTCGAACATCATTTTATCATAATACGCTGGTTAGCACTGCACTGTCTAGATTACTATATCTTTTTACTAAATATTGAAATCAGGAAGAGTGAGTCCTCCGGCTTTGTTCTTTTTCAGGATTGTTTTGGCTATTCAAGGTCCCATGAAATTCCTTATAAATTTTAGGATAAATTTTTCTATTTCTGCAAAAAAAAATACCATTGGAATTTTGATAGGGTTTCTGTAAACAGCTTTGGGCACTATGGACATTTGAACAACATTAAGCCTTCCAGTCCATGTACATGAAATGTGTTTCCACCTGTTTGTATCTTCTTTAATTTTTCAGCAATGTTTGGTAGCTTTCATAGTACAAGTCTTCCACTTCTTTTGTTAGTTAATCCCTAAGCATCATTCTGTTTGATGCTGTTGTCATTGGAATTATTTTCTAATTTTCTGTTCAGTTTGTTGACTATTGGTTTATAGAAATGCAAGTGAATTTTGTGTTGACTTTGTATCCTGTGATTTTGCTGAATTCATTTTTTAGTTTCAATAGTTTTAAAAAATGTAATCTTTGGAGTTGTCTACATATAAAATCATATCATCTGTGAACAGAGATTATTTTAAATCTTCCTTTTATTTCTTTTTCTTTCTTTCTTTTTTTTTTTTTTTTTTTTTGCCCTGGTGAGAACTTCCAGTACTATGTCAAATAGAAGTGATGAAAGGGGGCATTCTTATCTTGTTTCTGATTTTAGAGAAAAAGTTTTCAGTCTTTCGCCCTTGAGTATGATCTTTGCTGTGAGTTTTTCATATACGTCTTTTATTATGTTGAAGTAGTTTTCTTCTATTTCTAGTTTTACCATGAAAGGGTGTTGAATGTTGTCAAATGCTTTTACTGCATCAATTGAGATGACGACGTGTTTTCCTTCATTCTGTTAATGTCCTGTATTACATTAATGATCCCATTATCTCTTGCTTGTACTAGGACAACAGACTCATACCTGATTTCTCTGTCTTCAGTCTTGCTTCCCTTAAATCTAGCCTGTGCAAAGCAGAATGCTCTTAACTAAAATGTGTATTTGTAAGGAGATATCACTCCCCACTTAAAAGTCTTTTACTGCTGGCCAGGCACAGTAGCTCATTCCTGCAATCCCAGCACTTTGGAGGACCAAGGCGGATGGATCACTTGAGGTCAGGAGTTACCATCCTGGCCAACGTGGCAAAACCCCATCTGTACAAAAATAGAAAAATTTCACTGAGCGTGGTGGTGGGCACCTATACTCCTAGCTACTCGGGAGGCTCAGGAACAAGAATCGCTTTACTGGAGAGGTGGTGGCTGCAGTGAGCCAAGATCGCACCACTGCACTCCAGCCTGGGTATCAGGGCAAGACTTCATCTCAAAAAAAAAGTATTTTACTCGGTGGCTCAAGCCTGTAATCCCAGCGCTTTGGGAGGCCGAGGCAGGTGGATCACGAGGTCAAGAGATCGAGACCATTCTGGTCAACATGGTGAAACCCCGTCTCTACTAAAAATACAAAAAATTAGCTGGGCATGGTGGTGCATGCCTGTAATCCCAGCTACTCAGGAGGCTGAGGCAGGAGAATTGCCTGAACCCAGGAGGTGGAGGTTGCGGTGAGCCGAGATCGCGCCATTGCACTCCAGCCTGGGTAACAAGAGCGAAACTCCGTCTCAAAAAAAAAAAAAAAAAAAAAAAAAAATGTATTTTACTGCTCTCTACAGTTCAAGTTCTCAATGTGTCACCTCACTTTCACCTCATCTCTTATTTTCCTTTCCCCCCAACTTTCTTCTGCACTAATAGCAACCTACACTTATCTCTTCTCATTTGCTACATCAAATCATGCTTATTCCTCTGAATGGAATGAGTGGAATATGATTCCCTTGATTATTTAATTGGGTATGACTCATTCTTTATAATTCAATTTGGATGTTAACTCCTCTAGTCTTTTTTCTTTTATTTTCTTTATTTTAAAAAAATATTCATTTACAAAAAACTACTATGTATCTGTTACATGCTATGCTAGGTGTTAGGGCTACAGAGGGGAGAAAGGCAAACATGGCTCTTGCCTGTAAGCATTCTTGAAAGTTACAACCTTCCCCCATACCTATGGTCCCTTAGCATCTCATGCTTGCCTCAATTTTCTCATTAGTCATGTAATATAAAATTATAATTTATATTCATCTGACTAGTACATAGTGAGCATTCAATAAATCTTTCTTTAGCCATACTTACAAACTAATGCTTTTAACATTACATTAGAAACGTTTTGTTTTTGTTTATATTTTTGTATTGCCTCTCCTTCTTCACTGTCAACTGAGAACTGAACAACTCCCAAGGAGCCAGAGTCAACAAAGCCCCCACACTACCTCACCCAAGCAACTCAGGATAAATTGTTACCTAGCTAGGTATCCAGAAATATGGAAATCTTTAAATGGGGGTCAGGAACAAGGGGAGGATGAGGAGAAAAAATATTAAATGATCATAAAGAAACTGTATTTGTAAGGCCAGAGAAATGGTGTAAGAATCAAAATTCTCCCAGCTAAAGGACACATAACTACAATCTATAAAATCTAAAACTTGAATTTAACTGCTGGTCTCAAATATTTTCTTCCTAACTCAAAGTTTAAGAAAGTCAACAGCCAAATGATGATTGTTGGCTGGGTGCAGTGGCTCACACCTGTAAACCCAGCACTTTGAGAGGCCGAGGAAGGCAGATCACTTGAAGTCAGGAGCTTAAAACCAGTCTGGCCAACATGGCAAAACCCCATCTCTACTCGAAATAAAAAAATTAGCCAGGCCTGGTGGCACATGTCTGTAGTCCCAGCTACTTGGGAGGCTAAGGCACAAGAATTGTTTGAACCTGTGGGGAGGAGGCTGCAGTGAGCTAAGATCATGCCACTGCACTTTAGCCTGGGTAGCAGAGCAAGACTCTGTCTCAAAAAACAAAAACAAAAACAAGATTGTCTTAAAACACATGAAATCATGTAGAAGAGTAGAACCAGAAGAAAGCAGAATCACTGGGTGAATGGTACAATATTACATGTATTTCAACTTAATATAAGGAAGAAAACAGAAAAGGCTTCTCAACAATGAAACTGGTTATAATAAGATATTATTATATCTAATAATAATAAGATATTATTACTCAGTAATAATATTACTGAGGTTGTGACTGTTTTAGTTTGGCAAAGCCTCCCAATCTCACATTGCCATTTTCTCAAAATAACCTAAATAATGTGCTAGACTCACAAATACTGCTCTTCACTATATGGAACTGACTTCTCTCTGTTGTTTGGACCACCCAAATAACACATCTAATGGTGAGGGTGAGAGAAGAAAATAAATGAAGTGAAACCTCGTGTGCAACAATATCCCTGTCACCTCTCGGAGAGGACATAGAATAATTAAGAATTTTGGTTGGTAGGCTGGGCACAGTAGCTCATGTCTGTAACCCCAGTACTTTGGGAGGCTGAGGCGGGTGAATCATGAGGTCAGGTGTTCAAGACCAGTCTGGCCAACATGGTGAAACCGCGTCTCTACTAAAAATACAAAAAATTAGCTGGGCATAGTGGCAAGTGCCTGTAATCCCAATTACTCAGGAGGCTGAGGCAGGAGAAGTGCTTGAACCCGGGAGGCAGAGGTTGCAGTGAGCAAAGATAATGCCACTGCACTCCAGCCCTGGCAACAGAGTGAGACTCCATCTCAAAAATAAAAACAAAAACAAACAAACAAACAAAAACAGAAATTTGGTTGGGGCTAGCTGGCCACCTTTTAATATTAGTGGATTTTTGGAGACCAAGTACAGCATAGTATAATATAATAGTCATATTATTAGCAGGGGAGAAAGCTTTCTTCTCAGTGGTCTTCTAAAAAATGTTAAAAACCAGAGTGGCAAATTATAATTTTCACAGGATGATTAAAAACTACAGCTTCAATTACGTAGCTCCATTTCTCTTTCACATATTTAAGCGATATAAATACATATTCAAAGGATGGCTGGAGATATCCTGTGATAGCTTCCATAATGGATGTCCAAAATATACAGGCAGTTTAAATAAAAATGAGCAACCACATTTTGCATAGAATGTAAGTAGAAAAAGGTTTTATTGGACAAGCCTAAGCTTTTAAATACTTGAATTGTGCTCTACCTAATTTAAGGCTGGGTGCAGTGGCTCACTTTTTTTTAATTTTTATTTTTTGAGACAGGGTCTCACTCTGTCACCCAGGCTGGAGCACAGTGGTGCGATCTCAGCTCACTGCAACCTCCACCAATTCTTGTGCTTTAGCCTCCAGAGTAGCTGGGATTATGGGTACACATCACCATGCCCGGTTCATTTTTTTGTATTTTTAGTAGATACAGGGTTTCGTCATGTTGGCTAGGCTGGTTGGTCTCGAATTCCTGGCCTCAAGTGATCTGCCCATCTTGGCCTCTCAAAGTGCTAGGATTACAGGTGTGAGGCACTGTGTCCAGCCTAGAGCGTTATTTGTTAGCCCAATAGTTCTAAGTAAAAATCATTTCAATGAATTCACCTGAATTCTGTCTGTTGAAACATGAAACTAATAGAGCAATAAGGAGTACATTAGTAATAACTTTGTATGGACAGTTTCTGCCTTCAAAAATTTACTGAGATTTAATTCATGCTATATTAACTTTATCTATTCATTGCTCTGGCAGATAAAAAAGAAAGAGAAGTGGACAGGTAGGTGGGGGATAAGCTTTCTGTTTAATGAAAAGCTAGCAAACAGGCTTACTTCTTCGGACTGTTCGCGGATCTGTGCAGGTGAAGATCTTCTTCCCACTGTAAGTCGATGGCAGGGATAAGAAAGCCCTGATTCAGCAAGACACATCTGCAAAAAGTAGAATCTATCATTTGTAAACAAAATACAGCCATGTTTCACAAAAGGATTTTACTTTTTAGAAATTTTCTATTATTGCTGAAGCTAGATTAGAAAGCTTACTCTAGTTGCCTGGGTATTACATTACCAGGAGGGCTTTGAAAATTTGAAATTCTTCCACACATGGGATGTTTCGGTAGCCAAGGATAATTTTCATCAGATAATAGACTGAGGCTCTAGGAAACTGCAATGAACCCAAACTAAGGCATACCATACATACTCACCCCCAAACTCCCACTGCCCGAATGTGTGTCTGCTACTTTTCTGATTAGTAAAGTAATACCCATTTCCTAACTCCCAGGGCAGTAAGGATAGAAAAATAAAATTGTAGGTGAGATACAGAATTTTAAATTTCCATAAGATACATATGCCAAAAATCTACAAAAGCATAAGTTTAGGTTTTACCCTAAACTAATTTCTTACCCAAAGTAATCTCTCAGAAAAGAGAAAGATGCCTTATATTTGACTAGTTACAAAAGTTCTCCTGTTACAGGGTGCTTCCTCAAATACTTCATTGTCAATATACTGTTTGGACAGATTAGCCTTAAATAACTTAAGTCAATGATGCTTCAGGTTCTCATAGTTTACTTGTCAAAACTGGTTAATAAAGAAGACAATGATAAGACATGATTATTCCTAGAGGTATAATTTCACAATTCCAAGTATTAAAAGCCCTTGTAAACAATCCTTTAAAAGACACTTTGAAAAATGTCTTGGGAAGATGACGAATATAAATATATAGGACAAATGAAACCAAACCAAAACAAAAAATAAGCAAATGAAAAAATTACAACTGTCCTAATGACACCTAAATATAGATAGTATTTGTACTTTCTCCATAGCATAGGGATAATAAGGATGAGTTTATGGGTAAAACAATGAGAAAATGCCTAGCACACAGTGGTGCAGGCGTCCCCAAACTATGGCCCGGCCTGCAGGCCGTATGCGGCCCCCTGAGGCCATTTATCCGGCCCCCCGCCGCACTTCAGGAAGGGGCACCTCTTTCATTGGTGGTCAGTGAGAGGAGCACAGTATGTGGTGGCCCTCCAACGGTCTGAGAAACAGTGAACTGACCCCCTGTGTAAAAAGTTTGGGGACGCCTGCAGTAGTGGCTCAACAAACATTACTTTTTACTATTCTGTAAATATCTGTGGCTTGAGATAAAATGTCCAGTGAGTAAGGATGGACTCTAGAAAATATGACTTTAGTGAAACCACTGTTACCTTGTATCCTGGGGTCTTTCTAAGTTACCCTGTTCCCAACAGTAGTTATCTTATTCAATTATTTTGTCTTTACAATGCCAATCAAAAAGAAAAAAAAAGTGACCCTAGTGGTGATGATGATGCTTATAATATTAACTTTATTTTAGGTATGTGTATCCAATTAAATAAATAGACAGTTATACATCAACACAAAAAGTTTATTCATTTAAATTATCCAAAGAAAACCGTTTTTTACAAAAATAATAATTGTTTTACAGTATTTATATTTTTAAGCCCACATCTTAAGGAAAAAGTAGCTATTAAAGGCAAGAATTTAATTGTTCTTGTCAGCTGTCAGTGATTGAAATACAAGGATGGTAAATCATTTTTTTGACAAGATATGAAGAAAAATGACCAAAATTAAGTAAATTTGCTCTGTTAAAAAGTAATTTACGGAAGAAGCAGGCACTTAACAAATTATTATTGATTGCTAAAGAAACTTTTTTCTATTTAATAATGGAAGACAGCTAAGTATGGAATGAACTTATAAAGCCAGGGTATCCTGAGTTCAAATTCACTTCTACTATTCACTCGAATCAATATTTTTCATCTTAAAGCTAAGTTTCCTGGCTGGGTGTGGTGGCTCATGCCTGTAATTCCAGCACTTTGCAAGGCTGAGGCAGGAGGATTGTTTGAGCTCAGGAGTTCAAGACTGGCCTGGGCATCATAGTGAGACCTTGTCTTTAAAAACATAAGCAAAAGATTGGCTGGGTGTGGTGGTGCACACCTGTAATCCCTGCTACTTGGGCTGCTAAGGCAGGGGATCATTTGAGCCTAGGTGGTCAATGCTGCAGTGAGTTGTGATCACGCCACTGGACTCTAGCCTGAGTGACAGTGAGACCATGTCCCCAAAAAGGGAAAAAACAATTAGCTGGCCATGGTAGCACACAACCATAGTCCCAGCTACTACAGAGGCTGAGATGGGAGGATTGCTTGAGCCCAGGAGGTCAAGGCTGCAGACAGCTGAGATCACGCCACTGTATTCTAGCCTGGGTGATAGAGTAAGACTCTGTCTCAAAAAATAAATAAATAAATAAAAGGCTGGGCGCTGTGGCTCACGCCTGTAATCCCAGCACTTTGGGAGGCCGAGGCAGGTGGATCATGAGGTCAAGAGATCGAGACCATCCTGGTCAACATGGTGAAACCCCGTCTCTACTAAAAATACAAAAAATTAGCTAGGCCTTGTGGTACATGCCTGTAATCCCAGCTACTCAGGAGGCTGAGGCAGAATTGTCTGAACCCAGGAGGCGGAGGTTGTGGTGAGCCGAGATCGCATCATTGCACTCCAGCCTAGGTAACAAGAGCGAAACTCCATCTCAAAAATAAATAAATAAATAAATAAAATAAAATAAAAATAATTGCTAAGTTTTCTGTTCTATAAAATTAACAAGACCTTTCCTAACAGGCCTTCTGTGAGGATGGCTTAAATGAGAATACACTTGCTATATAGTGATATTCCATCACTCTTTTCTTCTTACAGACAGTATTTAGTGTTAAGAACATACAATGTGATTCTTAAACTATGTACTATATGCACAGGGTTCTTGAGATTCTTTCAGGAGTTCCATAAGGTCAAAATTATTTCAAAATAATACTTAAATGGCATTAGACTTTTTCAATGTGGTTTTAAAAAAATCTATCTATCTATCTCTCTATCTATCTCTCTCTCTCTCTATCTATCTATCTATCTATCTATCTATCTATCTATCTATCTGAGACAGAGTCTCACTCTGTCACCCAGTCTGGAGTGTGGTGGTGCCATCTCAGCTCACTACAACCTCCACCTCCCAGGTTCAGGCGATTCTCCTGCTTCAGCCTCTAAAGCAGCTGGGATTACAGGTGTATGCCACCATGCCCAGTTAATTTTTGTATTTTTGTGGAGACGGGTTTTACCATGTTGGCCAGGCTGGTCTTGAACTCCTGACCTCAGGTGATCTGCCCGCCTCGGCCTCCCAAAGTGCTGGAATTACAGATGTGAGCCACCATGCCTGGCCACACTGTGTTTTATACTGATGTTAAAAAAACAATGATGGGCAAATCTGCTGGTACTTCAGCACAAAAGGTAGTAGCACCAAACTGTTAAAATCCCCAGTTCATGTACTCACTGTAAAAACAGCAGTTTCATTTAAGAACGTCCCTGTTAAATCAGTAAAAAATTTTCCCTTTTAATTAAATTTGACTCTCAATATATGTCTTTTAATATTCCATGTGACAAATGGGAAGTATGTATAAAGCACTTGTGAGGCATGCCGAAGTATAATGGATGAAGAAAAAGCACTTGTGTTTGAGTTACATGCTGAACCAGCTATTTTTTTTCATGAAACACAATTACCACTTAAACAAATGATGGACAGACAAACTGTGGTTATTTGGATTTGGTATTTGGATAAGTATCCCTTATTCAGAATACTTGGGACCAGAGGTGTTTTGGACTTAGAACTGTTTTCAATTTTGGAATATTTGCATCATATTTACCTAAACAGTTGAGCATTCCAAATCTAAAAATCATTTTAAATCTGAAATGATCCAATGAGCATTTCCTTTTAATGTCATTTTGCTGCTCAAAAAGTTTCAGATTTCCAGATTATGGTACTCAACTATAATTGAGTAACCCTAATTGCTGAACATTTTCTCCACAATGAATGAAGTAAGACTACTACTTCAAGAAACAGGTCTGACAGTATTAATTGCCAATGACAAAATTTGAGTTTTCAAGTAAAAATTAAGGGTTTTAAAAACTATTAGCCATCATGAGCTTGATAGCTTCTCAATGATTAAAGCCTTTGTAATGAGTTCAGTGGTGATATTAATATAATAGACAAGATTTTTGATATCATATAATGAAATGTGTCAACATTTAGAAAATCTGTAGAGCTCACAAGATCAATATTCTCCAAATGAACAGTGAGTGCATAATGTTATAAAATACATGGATAAAGGTTTAATTCATAGTGTGAGGAAGACCAGTGTATCTTACTATGACAAAGTATTAATACAAAAGGTATACTGATATGGCTTCAGATTCTACATTAACATTTAGTTCAACCTGAGAAAGTGCGTTGCTACATATACACATAAAATAATTAAAATAAAAAAAAATGAAACCAACCTTTAGGAAACTACCACTTCTCAAGTTCTAGTTTAGTATCAAAGAAGAATATCTATAATCATTTGAAAAGACTATTAAAATACTCCTCCCTTTTCCAACTACAGATCTGTATGAGGTCAGACTTTCTTTGTATCTTCAACCAAAAAAATTCATTACAATAGGTTAAATGAACAAGAAGGAAGACATGAAAATCCAGTTGTCTTCAATTAAGACAGACATTAAAGAGATTTGTAAAGGTATAAAAACAATGTCACTTTACTTACCGAGTTTTTAGAAACTATAATTACTTTATATAAAAATGCTATTTTGGCAGGGCACAGTGGCTTACGCCTGTAATCCCAGCACTTTGGAAGGCAGATGTGAGTGGATCACCTAAGGTCAGGAATTCAAGACCAGCCTGGCCAACATGGTGAAACCCTGTCTCTACTGAAAATACAAAAATTAGCCAGGTGTGGTGGCATGTGCCTGTAATCCTAGCTATAGGAGGCTGAGGCAGAAGAATCTCTTGAACCTAGGAGGAGGAGGTTGCAGTGATCTGAGATCATGCTATTGCACTCCAGCCTGGGCAACAGAGCAAGGCT